CTTTACCATCTGCACCTGGAGACACAGGAACTTGACTGCTGATTAGCACCCTTCCCACCACAGTAGCACGAGGATATTAGAGGGACACTGCAGGAATTCCTTCCTTGGGATGTCCCATCACAGCCTGAGCATCTTCTCAGTCACAGGTTTTTGCTATCTGATTTTCTTTATTTCAAAACACCTCTGTTAGCAGGTTAGGGGGTGGGTCAGTAAAGGAAAGTAAAGGCTTTTGAGACTGGATCTCTCTGCATGCAGTTAAGGACCAGGGTGCAACTCCAGACTGAGGAGTTTGTAGCTGTTCCTTCTTGCTTCAATTAATCCACAACACACTTAAGGCTTGGCAGTGCTACACTGGCTAGCACCACAACTGAATGAGGTCTGCATGTTGCGATAGACAACAAGATGAACATGAGTCACCAATGCCATAGCTGGCAGAGCTAATCAAACACTGGCATGCATCTACAGAGGCATCTTCAGCAAGGCTAAGGATGTCGTCCTCCCATTCTATTCAGCCTTGGTGAGGCCGCAGCTGGAGTACTGCGTCCAGTTCTGGGCGCTGCATTTCAGGAAGGATAGGGAGAAGTTCAAGATAGTCCAAAGGAGGGCCACACACATGATTAGAGGCCTAGAGACAAGATCGTATGAAGAGAGGCTGAAAAACATGGGACTGTTCAGCCTGGAGAAGAGAAGACTCAGAGGGGACTTGGTGGTAGCCTATAAGTATATCTGGGGTGTACATCAGGGCCTGGGGGGCATCTATTCACCAAGACCCCCAGATGGAGGACAAGAAATAATGGACACAAACTGACTGAAGATCACTTCAGGCTAGACATAAGGAAAAACTTCTTTACAAGTCGAGTGCCGAGGGTTTGGAACAGGCTCCCCTGCAAGGTGGTACAGTCACCCCCCCTTGAAGATCTTCAAAAAGTATCTTGATGCCCACCTTTCCTGCCCAAGTGCAAAGAGGCTGGACCTGATGATCTTGTAAGGTCCCTTCCAGCCCCTAACATTTATGAAACTATGAAAAACTGTGCTGTGCTGTGCCTTTAATAAGTCACAAAACTAACAAAGAGTTAAATATGTTACTGAACTAGAGTCAACTGCCCTTATGGTTATCAGGAGAGGGAAGCTATTTTTTTTTTTAAGTTATATTAAAACAAATCTTTAATCTAGAATCAGCAACTGCAAATCCCCTGGTCCCACAAGCACTCATGACAACCTAACATGATACCTCACAGATTATGGACAACTTAAGATCTCTCTGAAGGGTGCTGAAACAGGAGAAGGTCTAAGTAATCACCTGGGAGATGCTTCCTGTCCTGAAAGTAAGCTAAGGTAGAAAGCAGAAGATTTCAGAAATAAACTGCTGGTGAGAGAAAAGGACTATCACCAAGCGTGCTTTGGTTTTGTGGGACACAGGCACATCTTCAATGGGCAAAAAGGTGTTAAAAGCCATGGATAAAAGCAGTCTTAGCATAAGGGGAAGCAGACATGGAGAGGACAGGCTGAGTAGGCTGGCCAGCTCTCAACAAAAGGCAGGATGGAAACAAAGAAACCCTCATTTAGCATAAAAATCAAGATGTCAAGAATGAAACTAATCAGGGCGCCAAGGGATATGAAGAGAAGAAATTAATTGTCAACATGAGGAGCCCGTGTAATAAACAAGAGGAATCAGAATTACCCATTTATGAGCACAAATTCAACCTCGAAGGTATTACTGAATCCTGGTAGGAAGAGTCACATGATTTGAATGTTAAAAATCACATGCTAAAAACTATTTAGGAAGGACTGAGTAGGTAAAGCCACATTAAAAAAGGCACTGCTGGTTTCTGAGTCCTTGACAAGTCAGAAGCAAATGAACGCGAGTGATTCTGAATTAATGTTCTGAAAGACAAAGCACAAAAAGGGGTACAACCCTGGTGCTTGGTGCAGACCAGAGTCACACCCAGGGCAAGAGGACCCATCCTGAAACACCTCTCTAAATTATACAGAGGCAAAAAATTTGCCTGGGGAATTTCAACTTGAGGAACATACACCGGAAGTCTCCTGCTGGCTCCGGCCTTGAAAATGCAAAATATTGTAAGCCTCTTAAGTCAAACCTGGAAAAAGTAACAGAATGCCTTATGTACAACTCTATTAATAAAGAATTAAGGGAGGTAATATAATTAATATCAATCAGCTTGGGCTTTTGGAAGACAGATCTTGTCAAACTAAACTTGTATTCTTATTAGATTATAAATTCAATTAATACATGGTATAAGATGCATTTATTTAATATACTTAGATTGCTTAAAGCATTTGACTTGGTACTGCACAGAATCTTGATTAATAACCCACAACAATGCAAAAAATCACCATGGCCAACAATAAAGGCTAGTAAAATGATAGGTCTCAGAAAGTAATGATAAAGAAGAAATCATCCTTGAGTGGCTGTTTCTAATGTGGCTCTGACAGGGATCAGATCGTGGCTCTGTGCTATTCAACATTTTTATTGATGCTTTGGAAAAAGCACAAAATCTTTACTACTGATAACATTTGCAGATGACTGGAGAAGTGGTAGCTAATGAAAAGGAGAGGTCAATAGTACAGAGTGAGATGAACTGTTTGGTAACCTTGGCTCTGGCAAACTGTATGTATTTCAATACAGGCAGTCATGTGTCTAGGAAGAAAGAATGCAGGCCACACCTAAAAGGATAAGAGACTCTTATCCTGGGCAGAAGCGACTCTGGAAAGGCTTGGGAATCATGAGAGATAAATCAGCTGAACAGGAACTGCTTTTAGTGCAATGCTGTGGTCACAGGAACAAATACAATTCTTGGAGTGATACTCAGGGGGAACATACCAGTAGGAATATAGAGGTTATATTACCTGTGTATTTAGCACTGTGTAAGCACTACTGGAATAGTGTGTCCAGTGCTAATGTTCCTGCTTCCCATTGTCAATCTTGAAAAACAATGGGGAGGATTCAGAGAACAACCATGGTAATGATCACAAGATTGAAAAATACGACTTGATGATCAGAGATTTCAAGAGCTCTTATTTAGCTTCTCAAAGAGACTTGATCAAAGACAATAAAGTACCTACATGGAGAACAAAAATGAAAGGCTCTTCAGGCTAGCAGACAAATTTTTAACAGTGACGGTAATTCATCATGGGAACCCCTTACCTGGATTTGTGGTAGATTCTCCACAAGAGGATTTAATACACACACATTACAGACAGACATACAGACAGACAGACAGACAGACAGACAGACAGACAGACAGACAGACAGACAGACAGACATTCTAATATTATAAAAACCTTAGTTTTTCTGTCTGTCCATAACGCTTTAGTCACGCTCTGACTGGTTGCCTCAGCACCAGAGCGCTCCAGGAGCATTCCAGAGAGGAGGCGGTGGCGCGGCAGAGCACCGCCATGACAGCAAGGACAAAGGGAACAGAGAGGACGGAGTGAGGGGCGAGGTCAGAGCCACTGGCCTTGCTCCTGCCCCGCCTCAGTCCCCGCTGTCATGGCAGCGCTGTCCCCCCTGCCTCTGAGAACCAGGGCCGCAACAGGCCCTCAATCCCCGCTGGCCTTCCCCTCCCCCACTCCAGGCCCTCAGTCCCTGGTGGCATGGCAGCGCTGTCCCCCAGCAGGGCCGGAGCAGGGGGGCAAGGCCAGCAGCCGGAGCATGGGGGCGGGGGCGGGTG